TGCACTGTCTATATGCTATACTTTGCACAAAACAGCTGGAGCCAGACGTGGTCACCTCCAGGATATGCCTCAGGGGCAGCTGGTGGAGACAACTGGAAAACTACTAACTCATATGAACTGGGATTCTCTCCAGCACGACTTCACTATTGTTGCTCTTGGTAGTAAATAAAAATACTTTGGGTTCTTGGTGCTCTCAGAGAAAATAAATACCAAATTCAGAACTCCTTTTAACACTCATTAAATTTTTTTTATTAGTTTTGCATCTCTATCTTTGCTATTCCCTACATAAGCTGCCTGAAAGTATTCCTGGAAGGTACACTGTTTCCTGGCACTCCAGTGCTGCTCTAAACCTGTTGCACGGGATTAACCAGTGCGCTGCAGGAATGAGCCTCCATGAAGGCCATGCCATTCCCTCTGCCCTACTGCCCAGAGCTATAGTTCCTAGTGCCAAAGTGTTCCTTGATTACCTGTAGTTATTTCTATCTTCTAAGCCATGAGACATATAAAAAAGCACTTGTATTAAAATGCATAGGTAAATCGGGTGTGGTGGCTCATGCCTGTAATCCCAGTACTTTGGGAGGTGGAAGTGAGAGGATTACCTGAGCCCAAGGGTTTGAGACCAGCCTAGGCTACTTGGTGAGACCTCATCTCTACAATAAATAAAACAATTAGCCAGGCAAGGTGGGGCACACCTGTAGTTCCAACTACTTGGAAGCCTGAGGTGGAAGGAACGCCTGGGCCCAGCAGGTCTAGGCTGTGGTAGCTGTGATCATGCCACTGCACTCCAACCTGGGTGACAGGGTGAGACTCTGACTGAAAAAAAAAAGTGTTTCTTTTAATTTACATAAAGGCCCAGATCAAAGTATCTACCAAAATGGGATGTAGTTTGCTGCTTAAATTGGCCATTAAAGCAACTCTGATTCAGAGAAAAATGTAACCTCTAAGTTTATGCAGGTTATATCACAGTAGCTGAGGTGTTTGGGCTGAAGGAGTAGTTGAACTGGGTCCTCTGCAGTATTCAGTGTTTTTTTGGGTGTGGGGAGAGATGGGTGAGAGGAGGCCACCCACCGTTGTGCTGATTTGAAGCCGTTGTCTCAGATTGACCCCATCCGATATAATCTGACAATCTTTCTATCCTGTCCATTTGGAGACAGAATATCTAGCTATGTCTATTTCATATTTATTTTCGAATTTAGAAAATACTTGTGTGGATGTAGTTTTGGAGGACATGTAGCCCAAGTTATGGCATCTGAATAAAATGTTTCCTGCTTTGCCTGCAGAATATGTTTTCATTTATCGACTACTCTAAGCTTCTTGTATGGGATTAACCAAAATCAAGGTGCTTAGAACAATAAACTCAGTGTCCTGGTTCTATCTTGCCCAGAGCACAAATAAACAGTTAATCCGTGATAAGAGTCAGTGATAAATCTTCTGAACTCTTTTAATATGTAGATTCTCAGATAGCAAAGCAGAAAGAATGGTGTGATGGACTCCTTGAGTGCCCACAACTTAGATGCAGCAGTTTTTAGTTTTGCTCTATGATATTATGTCAGTTACTTATACATACATAGTTGCTTATATATACTTATACATACATATGTTATGATATTATGCCAGTTACTTATACCACTTCAGCATCAGGTAGGATTTTATCAGTTTGATTTTTTTTTACTAATTATTATAATTAATGTCACTAAAAATCTCGATTATCACTCAGCAACTGTTTGCTTAAAACTGAAACTGAGTATGTTTTAAGAGCTAATAATTGAGTATGTTTTAAGGCTGTGGAAAGGATATAAAAATAATGTCTTGTATTGAATGTCTGCCCTCTCAGAATTTACTGTCTAAATAGAATTGAGATAGTTGCATGTGACTGTATAATGAACAGTATAAATTAATTCAGAGAAAGAAAAGATTATTTCTGGCTGAAGGGGTTCAGGAAGGAATTTGCAGAAGAGCTGGACATTGAACAGGCTCTTCTAGAACACATGGATTCGGTTGACCACAGCGTGGCTGTGGGTCCTCCATGGGCCAGTGATGCCCACTTACAGGAAGCAGGTGACATGCTGCCTCCCCAGGCTGAGTGTGGGCACCTCTCCCCTCATGCCTTGTGTTTTCTGACCATTTCCTCATTCCACGTGGACCCTGGCTCCCTGAGGGCCAGACTTGTTCTGGTGGTAGAGCCCTGTGTGGCTGTTAGATTGACACACATTGCCTCATTGGTAAAAAAGGAACTGGAAACCCTGTTTTACATGTTCGCTTTCTCCCAAGTCTCTTCTGTGGCACCATTTTACTTTGCAAATAGCATTCTGGTCCCAAGGAAGGAAACAATGAGAGGGGAGACCACTCTGCTAGACCCTAGTCCCATCACCTCTGACCAGGATTCCAAAACTGTCCTGCAGTAGAACAGAGTTGCTGTTACTGGATTAGATTATGGTTCTCTAGTGGACTTTGCTTGCAGGTGCCAAAAATCTGGGGGACCTGGAAAATCTTTTTAAATTTCATCATCCTAAAACTTTTGTTGTTTTTAATTTTAAAGATGTAAGGTACAATTCAGGGTTAGGTATACAAATGTTCATTTTGCAGGTACCCTTGTTGATGAGGTGTGTGGCGCTGCCTCCCCCTCCCCGGCAGATTCCCACTACTGCCAATCCCGAACCTAACGCTTTCTTATTCATGCACAGCTAATGAGGACTTCCCCAAGTTCAAGGTATAGAATCTCATCAAGGATTTTATATTGCCATAAATTATAATTTTAATATGAAAGCAAATATTGTGTTTCATATACAGAGAAACTAATATTGTGGGAGTTGGCCCTCCTTTTCCTGTGTTTTCCTTTCTTCTAGCCCCTCTTGTTACTCTGGAAAGACCAAGGAACCTTTCTTAAACGTCACCCTCTGGGCTTCTGGTCTCTGCTTTCCTCTTTCAGGAGGATCAGTGGTGCTTCCCACAAACATCTGTGTGCCCAGCCTGGGACTTCAGTGGGAGCCCAGGACTCTCTTCAGATGCAGCCTGCTCTCTGTGTACCTTCCTGATGCTTACTCACATTTTCCTTCAAGTGATATCATGGCATTGGCTTTATTTATTTTAAAAATGCAGTTTAAGGCTGGGTGCGGTGGCTCAAGCCTGTAATCCCAGCTCTTAGGGAGGCCAAGGTGAGAGAATTGCCTGAGCTCAGGGGTTCGAGACCAGCTTGGGCAACTTGGTGAGACCTTATCTCTACAATAAATCAAAAAAATTAGCTGGATGTGGTAGCATGTGCCTATAGTTCCAGCTACTTGGAAGGCTTAGGTGGAAGGATCACCTGAGCCTATAGCAGGTCAAGGCTGTGGTGGCTGTGAGTGTGCCACTGTACTCCAGGCTGGGCAACAGAGTGAGACTCTGATTCAAAAAAAAAAAAAAAGTTTAAAAAGTTCATCAAAGTAATGAGCATATACATTACTTTTTAAAAACCAGAACATAATCTTCACCTAGAGGCAAACCATTTTAACTGTTTTTTTCTAAGTAAGTATGGCCGTATTTTTAAAGAAAATGTTTATGCTGCTTTTTATTGATTTATCATTTTGGAACATTTTTACTGACTTTGTGGTGTGGCTTTAATACTTTTTACACTCATCACTTCACCTCCACCATCCTGGATGGTTGCAGGTTTACTCTTTCAGTTCTTCTTTACTGGGAATTTTCCATTAAAAGTTGTCTGCAACCAAATGAGAAATGAATACCACGTGGAGAGACTCTTCTAATGAGCCGCATGTGTCCATCGCCCACTTCAGTGTCCTTGTTAAACAGCCAGGCTTGTCCCCTCACTGGTCTGCCCTCCTTGCTCAGATTCTCTGAAATTTAGCTCCATTTTTAATAAATAAAATCATTGCTCATAACATTATGACTGTGTAAACACTTTGTGAGAAAGCCACGTCACATGTATGTGAGTCTAATCCTGGACTTTGGGTATGAGTTCTCTGGTCTTCTGGGCTTTAGGTGCTTTGGACTCACTGTCTGGATTAGAGACCCTAGAGGAGGTTGGGCTGTCTGTGAAACTAGGGCCCTTGGAAGGCCTAGCTCATGTTCGTGTTTGTCTGGCTCTTCTTGTGTGTTTGCTTTTCCCAGTGAACTTCAGTAGCAACTTGTCTAACTCTGTAAAACAGCTCGTTGGGATATGTATGGGAATGCATTCAACTTGTGAATTAACCCAGGGAAAACTAACATCTTGAGAATGTTGATGCAGCCTATCCAAGCAGGCAACATCTTTCCACTGTTCAAGTCTACTTCTGTGTTTTCCAGGAGAACTTTGAAAAGTTTCCACAGCTAAGTTTTGTATACTTCATGTTAAGCTTATTCCTATACATTGAAACTTCCTTGTTACTTTATAAATGGGGTTTTCTTTGCCATAGCGTCCTCTGTTTATTGTTTGTATATAATCAAGGCTATTGATTTTTCTATGTCAATTTTAGGTTCTGCTAATTCAGTGAATTTTTTAGTTATCAGCAAGGGTCCAGGTAGGAGGAGGAGGAGGATGAGGAGGGAGAAGCTTTTAGCTGGGCAAATATGACTAAGCAAGAGAGGGCCAACTTGTTTTCTGACTATTCTTTTTAACCCTTCTGTCCCCAGTGCCATGTATGTTGCAGCTTACTTCATTTGAGCAAATTATCTCCTTTCCATGTCCCAGATAATGTTTTTGAAAGGATTCTATGCTTCTGAGAAACACTTGATATCACAGTGGCAAATACATTTGACTTAGTGTTGCCATGTGACAGGTCTTACGTACTTACCTGATTTGTTCTTTCTACTATTCTCCATAAATATTTGTTGAATGAATGAGTGAATGTTGACAACCATCCTATGCAGTAGTTATTACCCAGTTTTATAGATTGGGAAACTTGGAGCCACATGTCCAGGGCCTCACAGCTATTGACCACAAACTCAATGTAAAGAATGGAGAACAAGTTCCAGGTGTTCCCTTGAGCCCATGCTAAGTTTCTTCATTTCTTATCCTGCAACAGGCCCGGTACAAGCAGAGCCTCGACCCGACCGTGGATGAAGTCAAGAAGCTTTGCACATCTCTGCGCCGCAATGCCAAGGAGGAGCGGGTCCTCTTCCACTACAATGGCCACGGGGTGCCCAGGCCCACCGTGAACGGGGAGGTCTGGGTCTTCAACAAGGTTGGCATGCCTTTTAAATCCCTTTCTATTAATGCCAAAGACCTTTAAGTGTTGGTGGTGGGCTGCAGGTCCTGTTCATCCGTAGCTTCTGTGGAGCCGCTATAGTAATCAAATAGGGACAGTGGGCCAGTTATCTGGGGAGAAGTTTCGGAATCACTTATGTTTCAGTGATGAAAGTTGAAAAATAATCAGGTACAGGGAGTTGCTTCTGTTGCAAAACATGTTAGTGAAATGCCTGTCTTGAAGCATAGCATTGTGGTTTATTTTTCTCTCGGTAATAATAGTAGTTGTTTGTAATTCTGAGGAAAGAGTATCTGCCCTCTTGTTTGAAAAATTGCAAGATTTCTCAAGTTGTTAGAATCTTCCTTTAAGAATCAGTGATTTTCTTGGAAAATAAAGTGCTACAAGCATTGAAAAGGGCTAATTTCAAACTGCCCTGTAGGCACAGCCTTGGCGTTTTTCTTCCCAAGGTCGAAATTGGTGGTCTCTTGCAGTTTCTTGAGCCAAAGCCTAGATGAAGTGACCACACCGCTTCCATGACTGTGGGCTGTGAGTGGTGAGTGGCAAGTTTGTCCCTGTCCCCAGTGCAGGAACTTTCGTCCTTCTCAGAGCAGTCGGCTTCATGTCTCTCCACGTCTCTGCATGGAAGGCAGTTCTTGGCAAGTGTAGGGGGCCCCCTTACATACTCGAACACATGCACGACGGTACTGATTTGGGATCCAATGAACTTGCGTTCTGGTTTCAGTTGTGCCACTATAAGTTTTAGGACCAAGGACAAATGATAACCTTCCTGAGCCTCTGTGTCCTTCTTATAGAAGCTGCTTCCTCGTGTCATAGGGAAGACTGACAGACGTGGACATATAAAGAACCTAACAACCTACTGTGTTTCTTTTAAATTGTGAACTCCCAGTACATGTACACTGTTCCATTTTCCCTGCTAGTATTTGGCACAGGCGGCAATGCAGTGTAGGCAGATAAAACAGGGGCCTAGAGCAGAGCCTTAAGATCTTGGACGTGAATGAGTGACTGGCAGCAGAATTTAGAAAGGCATTCCTCCCAGCTCCTCCTTCAGGGCAGTGCCATTTCTTCCCTGTATGTGTCTAGATAACAACTTGATTTTAATTATTTTTATTAAATATTGAGAAGGTTCAAAACTGTAATTATGAAAGTAGAATTTACTACACAGTGAACCACTAGGTAGCTACCAGCCAGTTCAGAAATGGAACATTCCATGTCCCTTGTGTGCAGTCCTCAATCTCATTCCCTTCTGTCCCCTCCCTTCCCCATGGCAGTTGGTGTAATGAGTTTTGAGTTTATCGTTACTTTGCTTTTCTTTGTAGAACCCTCACATCTGAATCTTGAGACACAATGAGTTTGGGGAGATTTCCATTGATGTGTTTGGGACCATTCTGCATGTGGTCTTTTGTGGGAAACTTTTCTCACTCAGTATTGTACGTGGAAGATTCCTCCCCTGGGCCTGTAGCTGTGGATCTTTCCTCATCCACTGTGTTCTGTCCATAGGGCCTCAGTGCTTTCTGGGCTGATGGGCATTGGGCTGTCCTGTCTTGTTTCTGCTCTAAACTGCACGAGTGTTTCCCTGCTCCCTTCCTCTCCAACACTAGGTGTTATCAGAATTCATTTTTTATTTGTACCAATTCAGTGTGTATGAAAATGACAGACTGTAGTATTACCTGAATTTCCCTGTGACCATTAAGGTTGCACACTCTGTGGTGGCCTTGTCAGCTCCCTTTTCTGTGAAGTGTCCAATCTCCTGTCTGCTTTTCACTTGGTTGAGTTGCCTTTTTCTTATTGATTTGGGGAGTTCTTGATATTCTAGACAGTAACTCTGTCATCTTTATGAATTGTGACTCTCTTCTCTGAATTAATGACCTTTTGTTGATTTTGTTTTTTATTATTTTTTATGGTGTCCCTTGATGGACAGGAATTGTTAATTTTGAGGTCGTCACATTTGTCAAACTTTTCTTTATGGTGTGGACTTTTTGTATTTTATTTAAGAAGACTTATCATTTGTGAAGGTCATTGAAGAATTTTGCTATGTGTTCTCCACAGAGGGTTTTTTAAAAGTTTAAATCCATTATATTTAGGTATTTAATCTATCTGGAACTGATTTTTATATACAGTGTTAGGTAGGAGTCCAAACTCATTTGTTTATAATTGAATATTTACCTATTCCATTACTATTTATTGCCAGTTTTGAACTAAATCAAGTTTCCATGTTCTGTGGGTATGTTCCTGAGCTTTCTGTTCTGTTCTTTGGGCTTCAGGAGTCTAGATTAATAGTGATTCTTGGGTATTTGGGGAGGCAAATGCCCCTTTTACTGTTCTTCAGTGGTGTCTTAGCTATTCTCAGCCCTTTGATCTTTTGTGACTGTATTGAATTAAGATGCCAAGTTCTCTGAAAATACCTTTTGGAATTATGTTACATCAATAGATTAGTGAGGAGAGCAAAAAGCTTTTAGTTGTTGTTTTTTTTCTGGGTATAAGATTTTTATTTTACTTGTCATTTCTCCCTATAATCTACACATATTCATCTCAGTAATTCAATTTTCTTTTTTAAAATTTTGTTTTATTGGCCAGGTGCGGTGGCTCAAGCCTGTAATCCCAGCACTTTGGGGAGCCAAAGCAAGAGGACTGCTCAAGTCCACGGGTTTGAGACCAGCCTGGGCAACATGTTGAGACCTTATCTCTACAATAAATCAAAAAATTTGCTGGGCATGGTAGCGCATGCCTGTAGTTCCATCTTTCGGTTTTATAATTTTCATTCATTTAATACAGGGTCTCACTCTGTCGTCCAGGCTGGAGTGCCATGGCATGATCATAGCTCAGTACAGCCTCAAGCTCCTGGGAGCAACAAATCTTCCCACCTCAGACTCCTAAGTAGCTGGGTCTACAGGCATGCGCCAACATGCCTGGCTAATTTAAAAAATAAAGTTTTAGAGACATAGTCTTGCTGTGATGCCAAGGCTGTGTTTTATAATTTTCTTCATAAAGGTTTTGTATATCATTTGTTGGATTTATTTCTATTTTGATGCCATTATACGTTTATTATAAAGTTATATTTCTAATTTTTAACCGAGGTATATGGAAAGGGAGGTGAAGTTTATACATGTTGTATTTTTAGTCTTGCTAACATCTCTTATTGATTATAAAAATTTATCTGTATGATGTCATCTGCAAATAGTGACAGTTTATTTCTTCCTCTCCATTTGCTGTTCTTGTCTTACTGTGCTGGCCAACACCTCTAATAGGGTGAAGTGATGATTGGGGGCATCTTGTTCTCCTTTGTCATTTCAGAGGGAGAGCTTCCTTTGTTTCCATGTGTGATGTTCCCGATAAGGGTTTTGTAAAACAAGGACAAAAACCTTTATTGGATAAAGAAAGTCTTATTCCTAGTTTTTTTCCCCCAGATTACGAATAGATGTTGATTTTTCTCCACCCATTGTGTGTTTATTAAAATAACCGGGCTGGGCGCAGTGACTCTAGCCTGTAATCCCAGCACTTTGGGAGTCCGAGGCGAGAGGATTGCCTGAGCCCGCAGGTTTGAGACCAGCCTGGGCAACATTGTGAAACCTCGTCTCTACACTACATCAAAAAATTAGTCGGACATGGTAGTGTGTGCCTGTAGTTTTGGCTACTCGGAAGGCTGAGACAGACGGCTCGCTGAGGCCCCAGCAGGTCGATGCTGAGGTGGCCATGAGTGTGCCACTGCACTCAAGCCTAGGCGATGGAGTGAGACTACCACTCAAAAAAAAAAAAAGAAAAAAGATGACCATATGATTTTTTTCCCTTAAGCTGGTGATACTTTGATGTTTTATGACTTTTTCACATTAAGTAACCTTCCACTCTTGCAATAACCTATTTGTCATTATGAATGAACTGTTTCATACATGATTTAATTCAGTTTGCTGCCATTTTGTTTAGTATATTAAATCTGTGTTCATAAGTGAGATTTGCCTGGGATTTTTTTTTTCTTGTTATCATTGACTAATCTGAGTAGTCAATGTAACTGTGAACTTAAAAAATAAGTTGAGGAGTGCTCTTTCTTTTTATATACACTTGAATAGTTTTTGTACAGTTTAAAGTATTTGTGGTTTGAATGCTTCATGGAACTTACAAATAAAGCTGTCTGGGGTAGAATTTTGTTTGTGGAGAGATCTTTGACTACTGATCTAGTTTCTTTCATCCGATTTTTCTGTTTTTTTCTTGAGCAAACTTTGCTAACTTATTTTGTAGGAATTTGTCCATTTCACCTAAGCTTTCAAATGTGTTGACATAAGCTGGCTTACCATATCCCCTTAGTAAATTACCAATATCTTGGATATTTGTTAGTGATGTTTTTTTCCACTCTTGATATTGATTATGTAGGCCTCTCTCTTATTGATTATTCTTACATAATTTATGTACATTTTATCAGTCTTTTCAAAGACCCAACTTTTACCTTTGCTGTTGCTCCAGAGGGTGGAAAGAACAGTAGAATGAATACTTTTATATTTTCCACCTAAGGTCAGCAGTTGACACCTTACTTTTTCCCTGAACCTTTGAAAGATACAGATATCATGACAGTAAGAACAAGGATTGTTTTGATATAACCACAGAACCATCAAAGTGCTCAAGAAATTTAACATTACTTCTATAATGTCATTGACTATAGAGTCTATATTCCTATTTTCCTAACTGCCTTCAAAATGTGCATTAATAAGCATTTTTATTTGTTGATTTTGTTTTGGATCTGGGATCTAATCAGTGTTCATCATGTGTTGCATTTCTTCATGCCTTTTTAATATCCTTGAATATAGATTGATTTCCTTGCCTTTTTAAAAATGACATTGACTTTTTTTAAGTGACATTGACTTTAAGTGACTTTATAAAAAATTATTATCTTCCTTTAGTAAGTTGGTGTAGTTATGAGTCAGTTTTTAAAAAAAATTAATATTCCTTGTTTTTTAGGGCAGTTTTAGTTTTATAGGAAAATTGAATAG